GTTCTACTCGTTAATGTTTGAGGTATATAGTACTGCAGTAAAACCTTATTGCAGAGCAGAAGGGAGGTATAGAGCTGCTGTAAAACCCAGTCTCTACCTCTATGAGAAACATTGAGTGTTGCAAGGGATTCACTCAGATTTGTCCTTCCAATAGATACATGTCTTTATGTGTAAGAAAAAGGATTTACCCTGCGCTTAGAGATCAGCATGTTTCTACACTTCAAAAAAATATCATTTGCTGTTTGTTTTGTTTTTTAGTAACAAAAAAGATGCTTGAGGACTTCTGAATAGAGCAGAGTAAAAAAAAAAAAAAATGCATAATCTAAGCATTTTTGTATGGCTTTGGCTTGATTACTGCTCCGACTAGGTTTTTGTTGTGCAAATATAATTTTTAGAGTTTGTATTCTCCAGTAACTGATTATTATATTGCTAAATTCAATATACATTGCTAAATGAATTTACCGTCTGAAGAGCTGTACTAAATGACATTTCGTTTTGTATACACTGTATACATTACAATAGAAGTTGCCTAAGTCTAAGTATAAATTGGCCGAAAGATATTTCAGTAATCAATTGATCTTATTGATTGTTTTATCCCTAAAACAATCCTTCTAAATCCAGCAGCAGTAACTTTTAAAAACAAGAATTCACTTTAGCTGGAGGTGATTTGCTAATCATTTCTGTTCTAGTTGCTGTTGGACCAAATCATTTAGGCTTCAATAATCTGGTTGCATTTTGTTGACATTCTTGTTTATGTAAATTAGAAATGTCACCTGTGCTGTCCTTTGGACCGCAACAAAATTTTAGTGCATTTGTTTCCACTTTGTTTTTAATAAGAGGGATTTTGTATGACTCATTTTGCTTCTGTGCGTTCGACATTTGTAGCTTGAGACATGATGAGGTTGGAAAATCTTTTTCAAACTTCTGAACTGTTTTGTTATTTAACAGAGGGATAGAGTTTTTATCATTTCAACATGCCTATATGAATTGTACATAAAGATTCACTGGTTCCTGTGTTGGCCTTTTTTTTTCAGAATAAATGTAAATATCCCTTAATTTAGGGGATAGCCACTCCTAACTCAATTAATGATTAATTGTGACGAATCCTTGTTTAGTTATTGACAACAGGATATGAGGGTTAACATCCCTTATGTTTCCTAAGGTCTGTTTCTCCAGTGTTTTTCTATCCTAGTGCATTGTAACACATTTCTCCATTGTGATGGAAGACCTTTAACTCACCATAATATTCTTAAATTATTGGAAGATGTAGCTTTTTAAGATTCGAGCCATGTACTTTTTTTATGCCAATTATTTGCAGATTTGGGAGAAAACCCAATGCTTTTGTTGTGGAGCAACCCTAAACATGGTTTATATTAAGACGGGGTTTTTATCGCTCTAAAAAGGAATTTTTAGATATGCTAAAAGTTAGAATAAATATTTGTCTGGGAAAAGATCTTGCTTACTATCTTTGGACATCCTGCAGGAATTTATTGTGTTCTTTGGTTCCTGGGGACAGAAGTGGCTTCTTTGCATCTTTGTGTGACCTCAAATTTTGTAAAACTGCATCTTTAGTTTTAACCTCAAGTTCAGATTTGATTGAATATAAGTTGCTACTATCTTTTTTAAATTAAAAGAACAGAGTTTAAGCTCTTCTGCAGCACCTTGTTAGTTATACTTCAAGCATCCAGCCTTTGGTGTGATTTCATGCGCAGCATTCCTACGCAGTCTTACTGCCGTTTGATATTAAGTTTTTAGCAGGTTTTACAGAGTATAAGCAAACATGACTTTATTGTTATCTGTTTTCCTAAATGTTGTGTCCAGGAGTCAGTTTATTGGCTTTGCTGTTTTTCTTTCTGTCCATCTATTCCTCAACCAGCCTTCCACTCTGTCTTACATTCTTTCTTCCATCCTTTTTCCAAATTTTTTGTCTTTCTTTCACTCTGTCCTTCCCACTTTGATTTTCCCTTCTGTTGTTAATTCCTTTCATACTTCCTGTTTAGGACCCTCATTCTGTCCTTCAAATTCATCGTTTCTTTTATAGTTCCATATTTAAAGCCTGACCACTTCAGAAATGTCTGCTTGAAATTCATTAACATAAAGAAGATGACGGGCTAGGATTTAGAGCTCTTTGATTTAAGTCTGGGAAAGAATAACATTTTGACATGAAAAACGTGTAGTTACCCTTTTATCATGAGACATAAAATACCCAAACCTGTTAAAGTGGAATTTAAATGTTAATGTTTTTGGAGAGACGTGAGCTTATTCATGTCCTTTGGCAGTACTGGATGAGAATGTAGTGCTGCCTTTATCGTCTGCAGCAGAGTTAGAGGATGATTCAGCTGGTGTACACACACTTCACTCTTATTTATTTGCAGTACATATTGTCATTAATGTGGCTGCTTTTCGTCTACATTTCTTTTAGCAGCTGAGGTTGGATTTCAATGTATGGTGCAGTATTGTTCAGGCCATTACTTTTTTTAACGGTATAGGTGGAACAGTAGAGCAAAGAGTAATAGGTCCCATGTGATCTTCTCATAACTGCTCATTGAGCTAGAATAATGTGCTTTTCACTACATTAGGGGATTCAGTGTCCCACTTGGGATCCGTCAGCAGTTGGAGATCTTTTTTTTTTTTTTTTTCCTACATATAGCGACTCATTTCTAACCCATACATACAGTAAATAATTAAATGAAAAAGAAACACATTTTTTATTCTTTATCAGACAATCAATTAGACTGACTATCATGTTATTGCAAAATTCTAAACACATAATCTAATATTTATTTCTTTTTTTTAGTGAAACGCAGCAATTAGAAGTGACAATCCTTTAAGGAATAATGCGTATTTCCTGATCTAGAAAGGAGTTTTTTTTTGGTACTGTATTAAAGGAATCATGGATGAGCTAATTCTTTTCATCATAATCTACAGTAGAATGGTGTTACCTGTGATTAACCCTCTGCCAACTAATCAATAACTATAACAAAACATGAACTCACCGGTGCTGTAATTCCTAAGGTATGAAATGTTCTTTTTCAGCTTCCAGTCATAACAAACGGCATGATAACACTATTATAACCCATAGACACCATAACTCATGTAAGATCACACTTTATAAAAAAAATAAAGGTGATAATCTTACTTTAGATTGTTAAAGCTATATTTCACTTATGGTTCTGTTAGAAGGTAACGCAGGGTTCGGAATAAGGAAATAAATAGATAAGATATATTCATGTTTAGAAAGCTGTTCTATCTAAAGAAAATGCTAGTGTTGTATTCTAAACAACATAAAAAAAAAATAGCAGTGGATACTTTTACCCACCTGACTAAAAATATACTTTTAACCAAAATTAATTCTTCCACTTATGAAATCTAGAGATGAAAGGGTGTATGCACAGTTGTTTAAAGGTTTTTTTTTTTTTGTACGAAAGGAAATCCTGAAAAAAGCTGTTAATAATTATATTAGGAAACTGTGAGCATAACTCAATGTTACCATGAAGACAAAACATCCACATCCTTTCTCTGTTTGTGAGGATTATCTGCAGTCATGCAGTAAGATTTAAGCCGCTCTTCTGCATGATGAGGTAAGTAGCAGAACGTGTAGAAGAAGGAAAGGCATTTGTTTGTTCCCCTTAGCTGCTTCTCAGAGAACTTTCCACTTGTTTCCAAGACTCCATCAGAACATCTGAATAGAACATAGATAAACAATAATAGATTAGTCTGAAGATATTATTATGTAACTGTTTTAGCTAGTTTGCTTGAAGTCTTTACTGGCTGCTTCTTTGAAATGTTTTAATGTTTATTAGTTTTGCTGTTAAAAAGAGATATTATAAAGGGGCTGTTTTTTAAAGCCTTGCTCCCTCACAGCCTCGTCCAAACAAAACCCAGTTAATGTTATTGGTATTTACCAAGCATCACAGATCCATGTGCGCCTATCATAAAACCTGCTGAGGGATGATTATGTGCAGAAATCACAAGAAAAAATGTAAGCAGAGGAGTCAAACTTATACTTCTTAACATCATCTCCAAAATTTTTTTTCAATGCATTTAAGGTCTATAAGAAGAAAATAATAGAGTTAAAGTCCTGCAGTATGTAAAAGGGTAAACATCTGAGTTGGGTTACATGTGAATCTGAATGTGTCTGAGTGCTCCACTACTTTCCCCAAAGACAATAAGATCAAGAGTTTCTGTTGGAGAGCAGCACAAGCTATTTTTATCCCCACATCATAGATAATAGATTCCTTTGGTATCAACCAGTACCATTAGGCCCACACATTATGGTTAGGATGTGATTGTTAGAATATGTAAAATATGTGAACAGTCTCAAATGTAAAGGGTGTCCCTGTGGTGAAAATAAATAAATACATAGCAAGTGTCTGCTCTAAACGGCTGAATTTGAGTGGGCGACAGTCTGCCGAGGGATATTCCCAGTTGTCTCTCCATAATAAGCAGAGACAGCTACCTTAAGTCACCCTGCAAGGTTGGTGCTGTGATTCTGCAGAGAAGATATTCAGCGGGAGCAAAAAAGGAAGGAGGAGTTTTTAACCTAGAAGGCCTTACCTCGTTGGTTTGTTCTGGACGCGTTCTACTGCTGTTTTTGTTTCGTTCCGTTGACTTATCGCGCTGTGAAAATTAAATCGGAATGGATGTAAGATGATCTTCTTTTATTACAAGGAAATAAATTTAAAAAAATGTGGCGAGAGGGTTGGAGTCTCTGAGGGAGGTAGTGAATGGCCGAAACCTAATTACAGTGAACTGAAATGCACACAGAGCAGCATTTTTCTGCTTTACAACACTATGTCCTATGTCAGCAGGTTCACATTTGTCCCACAGAGTTCTGCATTTCCTCAGCATTACTCTAGAGGAAGTTAATGTATCATAATACATATTTTTGGTGTGTGTATATATATATAATAAAAACAATTTTATATCATCTGATGACAATGCTATATATGAGAGGATTTCTTTTTATTTAGATTGAGATTGTTTTTCTCTCTTTACAGGATGGAAAACAACGAAAAGAAAGAAAGAAGACTGTCTCATTCAGCAGCATGCCCACTGAGAAGAAGATTAGCCGGGTCAGCGACTGCATTAACACCATGGTGGACGGCTCAGAGCTGAAAAAAGTGCGATCCAATTCACGCGTTTACCACCGTTACTTTCTTCTTGATGCTGACATGCAATCATTGAGATGGGAGCCAACAAAGAAGGAGTCTGAAAAGGCAAAAATTGATGTGAAATCTATCAAGGAGGTTCGGACTGGCAAGAATACAGAAACTTTTAGAACTAATGGCACCTATGATCAGATATCAGAGGATTGTGCCTTTTCAATCATCTTTGGGGAAAATTATGAGTCCCTGGACTTGGTGGCAAACACAGCAGATGTAGCCAATATATGGGTGACAGGTCTAAGGTACCTTATCTCTTATGGGAAGCATACCTTGAATATGATCGAGAGCAGCCAGAACAACTTGCGCTCATCTTGGTTAAGCGACCTCTTCGATGAAGAAGATGTTAACCACAACAGACAGATACCAATGTGTGCTGCCGTGCAGCTAATAAAGAAACTAAGCCCAGGTTTAAAAAATGTGAAAATAGAACTGAAGTTCAAGGAGCTTCACAAAGCTCTTGACAAAAGTGGGTCTGATGTGACAAAAGAGGAGTTTGCTGAAGTCTTTCATGATCTTTGTACAAGACCAGAGATTTATTTTCTTTTTGTTCAGTTTTCCAGCAATAAGGAGTTTCTTGATACTAAAGACTTAATGATTTTTCTGGAGGCAGAGCAGGGAATGGCTCAGGTCAGTGAAGATACCAGCTTAGAGGTCATTCATAAGTATGAACCATCCAAAGAGGGCCAACTTAAAGGATGGCTCTCCCTTGATGGGTTTTCTAACTATCTTATGTCTGCAGAGTGTCACATCTTTGACCCTGAGCACAAATCTGTTTGCCAAGACATGAACCAACCACTGTCTCACTACTACATCAATGCTTCCCACAACACGTACCTGATAGAGGATCAGTTCAGAGGTCCTTCAGATGTAACTGGGTATATCCGTGCTCTGAAGATGGGCTGTCGATGTGTGGAGCTAGATGTGTGGGACGGGCCTGATAACGAGCCTGTTATCTACACTGGTCACACAATGACCTCCCAGATTGTTTTCCGCAGTGTTGTAGATGTCATCAATAAGTACGCTTTTGTTGCCTCAGAGTTTCCCCTGATTCTCTGTTTGGAAAACCATTGTTCTGTAAAGCAGCAGAAAGTCATGTTTCAGCATTTGAAGAAGATCCTTGGTGACAGGATCCACGTAGATGCTCCAAATCTCGAGGACTGTTACCTCCCATCTCCGTCTGAGCTGAAGGGGAAGATCCTGCTGAAGGGTAAAAAGCTGGACACAAACTGCACTGCTTCAGAAGGAGAGGTGACGGATGAGGATGAGGGGGCAGAGATGTCTCAAAGAATGAGCATCGAGTCTGCAGAGCAGCAGACTAATGCACACAAAAAGATCCCTCTGCTGAAGGACCTCTCCGACCTGGTGACGTTGTGTAAGTCTGTTGAGTTTAAAGACTTTCCGACATCTTTCCAAAAGCAGAAGCCCTGGGAGCTCTGCTCTTTTAATGAAGTGTTTGCCACTCGCTGTGCCTGCGATTTCCCTGGAGACTTTGTTAACTACAACAAGAAGTTTCTTGCACGAGTTTACCCGAGCCCAATGCGGATCGACTCTAGTAACATGAATCCGCAAGATTTCTGGAAGTGTGGCTGCCAGATTGTAGCTATGAACTACCAGACTCCAGGTCTGATGATGGATTTGAACATTGGTTGGTTCCGTCAGAATGGCAACTGTGGCTATGTTCTTCGGCCAGCAATCATGAGGGAGCAGGTCTCATATTTCAGTGCTAACACAAAAGATTCAGTGCCTGGGGTCTCTCCACAGCTCTTGCACATCAAGATAATCAGTGGACAAAATTTCCCCAAACCCAAAGGCTCAGGTTCCAAAGGAGACGTGGTGGACCCCTATGTATATGTGGAAATACATGGCATTCCTGCGGACTGTGCAGAACAGAGAACTAAAACGGTCCACCAGAATGGGGACAACCCACTGTTTGATGAGAGCTTTGAGTTTCAGATAAACCTCCCTGAGCTCGTTATGGTGCGCTTCGTGGTTCTAGACGATGACTATATTGGAGATGAATTCATTGGCCAGTATACGATCCCCTTTGAGTGTCTACAGCCAGGTTTCCGCCACGTCCCACTTCAGACTCTAACAGGAGAGTTGCTGCCACATACTTTGCTGTTTGTCCATGTTGCTATAACCAATCGAAGGGGAGGAGGAAAGCCACACAAAAGAGGATTGTCTGTAAGGAAAGGCAAAAGGAGCAGAGAGTATGCCAGTATGAGAGTCCTGCAGATAAAGGCCATTGATGAGGTTTTTAAAACCGCCCTTCTGCCACTCAGGGAGGCCACAGACCTTCGGGAAAACATGCAGGTAAGACATGACTGAATTTGATTTCTTTTTTATTCATACTTAAAAATGTTTGAGGATTGACCACAGGGTTTTCCTAAGTTATTGACATGTCTTATCATGGTTTGAAAATAATAATTGTCTGTATTTTTAGGCCACTTTACACTGGTGAAGATTCTCAGTCATCCAAGTCATATACATTCCAAAAAAGTCAAAAAACAATCCACTGGACTTTGTATCCAAGTTTGAAGACGTTTCGCTTCCCATCTAGGAAGCTTTTTCAATTCAAAATGTCAGAAATAACATTGAGTTTGATGCTTTATAGATTTGACCAAAAACAAAGACTTGTTTTAGAACAGAACATCTCACCTGTTCAGCTAGGCCAACAGTTCACCCTAACGACCCCCCTTTAACAGACATAGACAGATTAGGGTGTTGTAGGCTAATAAAGAACCCAAACGACTGCCCATTGCCGTTCGTCCGGTTCAGTTGCATGTTTTCTAAGCCAAAACAAGCCTTTGTTTTTGGTCCACTTTATAAAGCTTGGAACTCAATGCTATTTCTGACATTTTGACTTGGGAAACAGCTTCCTGGATGGGAAACGAAAGGTCTTCAAACTTGGGAACAAAATCCTGTGGTTTTTTTTTTACTTTTTTGAATTATGCCACTTTATGTTTATGGCTTTTATTTATCTGAAATGTTTTAATTAAACTTGTTACTTCAAATTGTTGTTTGAGAGGAGAGTCACCTGCTCCACTTTGCAGCAGTACATCTGTTTCTGTCTGTGAATCTGTTTGTGCTACATCAGCCAAGTTTGGCTCCAGTTATTGGCAGGTTCATCTAAGCTATGGTGTCTACACAGAAATGGCAGGTGAAGCCTTTGATTCGCTGCCAAATGAGGCCGCTCATGAAAAGCTGCAGTTTTTAAATGCCAAAGTGGTGGAAAGACTGGAAGAGCTTTAGATTAGACGGTGATAGATGAAGATTAGCTACACACTGAGTAAATGTTGAGACCTAGAATGCACATATGAGCCCGTGGAAAAGCTATCCTTATTTATTTAAGCTCTACACTCTGTTGTGCTTGTATGCATAATATTAAGACTTTGTTAACTTATAATGGATAAAATAAAAACTTTTTTTAAAGTTAAAGGACTTATTAAATTTATTTTTATATACAAGTTAGTGCCGCTGTATATAAAATGCTGAAGACTGGCCTTTTTATGTTCAAATCAGTTAATTACCACAAATGTATAAGAATAATTTTGCTGTGTGATAATATTTTTATGGTATTTACAGAACATGAATCAATGAATGTGTGTTGAGTAGGGATGGGGATCGTTAATTTTTATTGATATCGATACCTTTATCGATGCTCCTTATCGATTCGAGTCTCTATCGATACCACTATCGATACTTTTCTGTTATTTGGTGGAAAGACGATGCGACAATAAGTTTTTACCGGAACTGGTATTGCTTTTATTGCTTAACAAGTGAGCATAACAAAAACGTTTCTAGACTTTAATAAACATGGCTAATGTAATAGGCCACTTCAAAATGACATAAAACTAACTAGAATATATCAGCAGCACCAAATGAAAAATAAAATGTCATAATGTATATAAATTAAATAAATAATATGCGTGTCACACAAAAGGAAATAAAATATCAGCTCATAAATTAACAGGTGTTTTTTTTGAAGAAAAATTAACATGTCTGTCACTTTTCATCATGTTTTTAGTGATTAGGAAAATATTTAGCAAATAAATAATTGTATTTTAAATTAAATGTAATTTTTGGCATCAGTAATTACAGGTGCTGGTCATAAAATTAGAATATCATGAAAAAGTAGATTGATTTCAGTAATTCCATTTAAAAAGTGAAACTTGTATATTATATTCATACATTACATACAAACTCATATATTTCAGATGTTTATTTTGTTTAATTTTGATGATTACAAATGACAACAAATGAAAATCTCAAATTCATCATATCAGAAAATTAGAATATTACTGAAGACCAATAAAAACAAAGGATTTATAGAAATGTTGGCCAACTGAAAAGTATGAACATGAAAAGTATGAGCATGTACAGCACTCAGTATTTAGTTGGGCCTCCTTTGGCCTGTATTACTGCAGCAATGCGGCGTGGCATGGAGTCGATCAGTCTGTGGCACTGCTCAGGTGTTATGATAGCCCAGGTTGCTCTAATAGTGGCTTTTAGCTCTTCTGAATTGTTGGGTCTGGTGTATTGCATCTTCTTCTTCACAATACCCCATAGATTTTCTATGGGGTTAAGGTCAGGAGAGTTTGCTGGCCAATTAAGAACAGGGATACCATGGTCCTTCAACCAGGTACTGGTAGCTTTGGCACTGTGTGCAGGTGCCAAGTCCTGTTGGAAAATGAAATCTGCATCTCCAAAAAGTTGGTCAGCTGCAGGAAGCATGAAGTGCTCTAAAACTTCCTGGTATGTGGCTGCGTTGACCCTGGACCTCAGAAAACACAATGGACCAACACCAGCAGATGACATGGCACCCCAAACCATCACTGACTGTGGAAACTTTACACTGGACTTCAAGCAACGTGGATGAAGTGCCTCTCTTCTTTTCCTCCAGACTCTGGGACCTTGATTTCCAAAGGAAATGCAAAATTTACTTTCATCAGAGAACATGACTTTGGACCACAGCAGTCCAGTCCTGTTTCTCTTTAGCCCAGGCAAGACGCTTCTGACGCTGTCTGTGGTTCAAGAGTGGCTTGACACAAGGAATGCGACAGCAGAAACCCATGTCTTTCATACGTCTGTGTGTGGTGGTTCTTGAAGCACTCACTCCAGCTGCAGTCCACTGTTTGTGAATCTCCCCCACATTTTTGAATGGGTTTTGTTTCACAATCCTCTCCAGGGTGCGGTTATCTCTCTTGCTTGTACACTTTTTTCGACCACATCTTTTCCTTCCCTTCGCCTCTCTATTAATGTGCTTGGACACTGAGCTCTGTGAACAGCCAGCCTCTTTAGCGATGACCTTTTGTGTCTTGCCCTCCTTGTGCAAGGTGTCGATGGTCGTCTTTTGGACAACTGTCAAGTCAGCAGTCTTCCCCATGATTGTGTAGCCTATAGAACTAGACTGAAAGACCATTTAAAGGCTTTTGCAGGTGGTTTGAGTTAATTAGCTGATTAGAGTCTGGCACCAGGGGCCATCAATTTTGAACCTTTTCACAATATTCTAATTTTCTGATATGATGAATTTGAGATTTTCATTTGTTGTCATTTGTAATCATCAAAATTAAACAAAATAAACATCTGAAATATATGAGTTTGTATGTAATGTATGAATATAATATACAAGTTTCACTTTTTAAATGGAATTACTGAAATCAATCTACTTTTTCATGATATTCTAATTTTATGACCAGCACCTGTATATATTCTAAAATAATTAGAACAATATACAACTGTATTACTCATGTTTCTCACCAAAAACTCAATTTCCCTTTTCTTTACGTTACACTTGAACGCATCATGATAACCTAATTGTCGTTTTACTGAGCCAATCTGAACACATCATCACGCAGCACGTCTGAAACTTTATTTACTTTTCAAGCTAACTAGCTTGTATGCTGCCGATTACAAGACGGATTTCACAATTAATATTTTTAACTGACCAGACAAGCTACAAAGTCTGTGTGCGCGCTTACCAGTGGTACTCTGAGTGGATGATGAAGACGGGCCCGACTGTGGTGCGGTGGCAGCAGCAGGAGGAGGAGTCTTTTCAACCCGCAGACAGTCGAAGGTACTGCATTTGGCCTTTATTTGATGCACAATACTAATGTGCTTGGCCATTGAGGTTGTGTTCCCCCCTTTAAAAGAGATGATTTTGCAACATAAGTTGCATTTAGCTTCTCCTTTATCTTTGAGCTTGGTAAAATGAAGCCAGACTTTAGACCTTTTAGTCCGTTCAGCCATCCTCGAGTCGCGAGCGAAGTTAACTGCCAGACTTCACTTGTTTTACTTTTAATATCTGTTTGCTTACAACTTCATTCTAAAATATTGGTGGACATGCTGCAGCGATTGGATTGATTAGATTTAAATGCTGTGACGTGACTCGAGGGACACACAATTATGTTACAGGACCTCCGGGAGAAAAAAAAAAAATGACCAGACTCGATAGTGGTATCGATAAGCCCAAGCATTATTGATTTTCGGGTTTTGAAAAAAGTGGAACCGGGTCCTTGATAGAACCGGGTTTCGATCCCCATCCCTAGTGTTGAGAAAATAGTTCTCTTGAGAAGAAATTCTAATTTAGCTTTACTGCAGTAAAAAGCCATGACAGACTCACTTTACCTTTTCCCATAGGCCATGTAGGACACATAACAAGCTTTTTGAAGAATGTCTTGCTTTCATGCAAGATAATTTGTGTTTTAAGAATTGATATCTCACCGTATGGCCGGCAGCAAAGCTGGTCAAAGTTATTGGGAAAAATGATAAAGCCAGAATCAAAACAGTTCTAGAATAATGCTGTTAGAAGTTAGAAAAAACCTTCCCTTCCAATCGGACAACAATCCAGCACATCCTGCTAGAGCTGTATTGGAATCCTTTACATTAAAGTATGTTAAAAGTGCCCAGTTAAAGTCTAGACATAAAATGAATTAAGAGGTTGTCAAAGTTGGATAATTGATATTCATGGTTGCAATCTGTCCAGTCTGAGTGATAATATGCTGGTTTACCAAGAAAAATGGACAAAAATGTCCAAACAATTTGTTGTCTTAATTCTTGAATAGAAGGAGATGCTTCTTTCAACCTGGTTTTGGATGTTTTTCTTCCCCCCTTAATAAATTAAATGATATAAGTACGGTCACATTCTATAAGTCGTATCAGTTTTTATCATGTAAATGTGGGGGAAAAAAGAAGAATTGTTTGTAGAGATAAAAACATGTATTTACACCATTGTACACATTTAAGTACAGCTACCAGTGAAATATGCAGCTATAGTTCAAGGGGTCAACATGTGACCCATAGCCTTAATTCGATTTTTTTTCCATGATTGTTATTAATAGCATATTGAGAAAATAATCATCTGTATGTCAGTGCTCAAAAATCTTCCCCTTTCCAACACCCCCTTCTTTTTAGGATCTAGGAGCTCATTATTAACTCCGACAATATTTTGACTAAATTAAATTAAGACTTAATTAAAATAGGCAACATAGATAAGACTGATTTAACTCAAGTTTATCTAGGAAAGAAAGATATTATCCAATGCAAACATTTTCCCTAATATTTGTGTAAGAATCTCTACAGCAAAGTACTCTCTAGTTTCATGAAAAAAGTAGTGTAGGACATCCAGCCTCACTGTGTTTGGCATAATGTTTTGTTCCTTCAGGCAGTATATTAGATGTTATTTTGGTCCTCCTGTTTATATCGCTGCTGCATTGTGAGATAACAAGCCAGCAACCATGAGACTTTAACACATCTTGATCTCTCCGTCACAGTTTGTCCCTGCGGTTGTTTATGTTAGGGTTAAATTTGGCCTTTCACAGGAAGTTTAGTGTTTTCGTGGGTGCATGTTTCATTTCCACTTGATGTTTGTGTCAGTACAGAAGGCTTGGGTGCTTTGGAGTAGCTAACAAGTGCCAAAAAGAAACTTCTCACAGGCAATGACAGCTTCCAGCTTCCCCTCTGTCACACAGCTGATCTGGTTTTATTGCTTTTAATGTACCTGAAATAAAGTTTCAACTGAAAGGCAAAAAAGAACAAGGTTTCCAGATTAACCCTGTTTTTAATTATATTTTGTTTAACAGTGGAAATTCATTTCCCCATCTGTATTTTTTTCTCCACAATGCAGAATGCCATAGTGTCCTTTAAGGAGCTCTGCGGCCTTTCAGCGGTGGCCAACCTCAAGCAGTGCATCTTGGCTCTCTCCCCTCGACTGACAGGGCCTGACAACAGCCCCCTCCTGGTGTTTAACCTGACTGACCAGTACCCTAACCTGGAGCTCCAAGGCCTGCTCCCAGAGGTCCTGAAAAAGGTCGTCAGCACCTACGATATTGTGAGTAATAGTCAAAAATCAGTTCAATTCAAATATTAGTTTATCAGTACAAAGGAGAAATTAAATGTTGCAGTAACTCATGGGCAGCTTTTCCAACAAATGTTGTATGTATGCACTCAGATGTTTATTTATAACGTCTTGTTAAAAAAAGTTTGTTTTGTCGAATCAGAGTCTCAAACTTAAAGAAATTAGAAATTCTTTTTAAAAGAAAGGGAGCAGCAATTTGTTAATGTATCAAATTCCCAGTCAATAGCTGATTTTCATCTAGCAACCCAGCTTTGGCTTCTATTAAATCAATATCCTGATTGTACTTAATATAATAGGAACATAGTGAAATGATTAGGTAATATAGCCTGGAACTACGTAGGTACTGCAATCAATGTTGAAAAGTTATGCAATGTGTCACTGAGGTCATTATAGATATTATGGTTGACAGAACATGTTCTTTGGGCTCAGAGTGAATAAAACATGGACTACTGCAACATAAGCAGGAAAAAAAGTAAAATAAAGATCTAACAACTCTGTTTATTTACATGAATTGTTGTTCTCTAGTCATACATTTTTAAAGGTAATAAAATCCTTAAAATCCTTTTCTTAAACAAAGCACACCATCTATAAATCATTTTGTTTTACGCATATTAAAGGAGCACAGTGCAAGCTCCAGAGTTTTTGCCAACTTTTGTCCCCTCTGACGACAAATCGAAATGACACCATGACAGAGGAGAAAAAAGCTCTCCAGACTTTTGCTATGACTCCACAGGCCTTTTGTTTAGAGGAGTAATGTCATTTGGGGTAAGAAAGGTATACATTTTGAGATTAAGTTGCCGTGGTTTGTTAAGCATTGTTTCCCAAACTCATATACCTATTGATTGAGAGTTTGGATATAAGTCGGTACCTATTGTCAGTATAATAGATATCGACTGCCTGCTTGGGAGTCTGATTGTTTGAATATCCGCTTTTGATAGATTATAGCTGGGGTTAAAGAAAGCAAGCCAGGCTAATGGTAGCATCCTTCTACAAATGAAGTAAATTAAAGATGAGGTTTCAAAATGTGATTCTGTGGAGTGCCTAACCTCATGGGCTTTTCTGGTTTTAACAGAGAGCCCACATGAAAAAAAAGAGACAAGCCACTTCATATTCTGGATTGTTTGGCCGGTTTCAACTAAAGTCCAACACCAACGCATGCACTTATCATAAAAAGTCGCATTTCCAGGTGATAACACTTTTAAATGAGTACCGCTTAAAACTCTTAAAACAAACTAAGGTAGGGCAGTGAAGCAGCATTGTAAAGCAAATTTCCCTCCAAAAATGTAAATTGAAAATAATAATAAGGCTTTGATTATGGAAAGGTTTAGATATTTAACATCAAAAAAACTTTTAGGAAACACACATATGACTATGTGTTATAACCTTCAATAGGAGGCACAGAGAGGGGAAGGGCACAGATCATATCGGTATTAGTGTATTTGTTTCATTAATTAAAAACATATGCTCATTTATGGACTGCTGTGTAGAAGAGTTTATTACACGATTAGATTACAGAAATTCTGTTTGGATCATTTAATTACTCGTAAAAGCTGTGAAAAGAATTTCACAGCAACACAATTAAGTCCTATCTATACTTACCTGTGCTATCTTTATATCGGCCTCTTCTGGGACTAAAATGTGAGTGCATTTAGAGTGGTACCATCTTGAAATAACCTAGATGCAGAGTGATTACGTGGCTTACCCTGCTCAGTTCACTCTTAAAGTGAAAGGCTGATTAATTAGCCTGGGTGGAGGCAACCTGGCTGTTGTTTATGGAAGAACATCAAACAAATGTAGGAAGAACTTCTTGAAGAGCTGTAAAGCTAGTGGCTGTAGACAGTAGCATGAATCAGAGGGAGATAAGGAAACAACCAGTAACACAATGTTAATGATGTATGATTGCCACCAGATATTGAAACAGATAGACATGTTTGTAAAATTATTTGTTAAATTAGACAAAATGATTAAAATAACTATTTCTTTGGTTTGGTTTTGGAGATGGTTTGGTCATTTGATGGTTTACATGTCTGAATACAGTCTATTGGGTTACTGTTGGAGGATAGCGATAATAAAATGGGCCAAAAACATGTTGTAAATATGCTGTATATGTTTATAGTAAGGCATACAAAATAGGCAGGAAGTTAGGAAATATAAGAGCTCTATGTGTGAGCATTTCTATTAACTGATCAAGGCTTTCTGTTGCAGTGTTTCATAGAAATTAAGTAGGATTTCATATCCTGGCTGTCACCAAATCTGGGTATTATTTCTAATTCAAATTAGTTAATCAACAACAGAAGGATAGCTGCTCATGGTTCCAAATAATGTGTACTGGTTTATGTTTATGCCTCTTTTATATAGGCAAAGTTCACTATTTTTAATGGTGGTTAATATCACAGCCTGACTCTGAAAGCCCCCGTAACCTTCTCCATCACACATTCATAACACAAACTGATGGAATCTTTCAGTTTTAAGGGGACTTAAAAAGAGGTAATGCCACCTGGACCATCTAATAAAGATTTCTCCTGGTGTGCCCTGCAAAGCAAGTCTCATCTCTGTAAATGTTGTTTAATTATTGACAAACATTGCAACTTATTTATGGTGACTAGCAGAGCTCATTTGAACACCATAGAAGTGTAACTATTGCTTTTCTTACCGTTTATTATACTGATGAGATGTTCTATGTTCTGGTTGGTTTTGAAAGAAGTGTTTAGATTAAAAAATAAACATCTACTTTTAAAATTGTGTATTTTAGACTTGAATTTGTAAGACTAAAATAGACTGTTCTGTAATTATTCTAAGTGTGTCTGCACTAGAGTTCCACATAAAAACTAATAATATAGTAGATGTGTATACATCTAAGGCAAATGTGTCCTTCATACCTTAGTGTTAATGAGTGACTGAGCTATCGCTGCCTTTCAATCATCTTGAGCCTATCGGCCCATTTTCCCCTGACCTCTTACACCAACAGGGCCTTTTCATCCAAACAACTGCTGATTACTCATTTTCTTCTTTTTCAAACCATTTTCCTTCAATCCTAGAGATGTCTGTGGACTGGTTATTCCATTTTATCAGTGGTTTTGGACATACTAGATTATTTTACTCACATTTACTCAAATTAGTCTGGCTGCAAAAACCATATCAGTTCTTGTGTAGAATTAATAAGCAGATTAGATTATGATTTTTGGGAGGAAAGCTGTGTTTTTATAACCAAATATATGACAACATTCCAGTAAAGGCAGTGTACAATTTGAGAAATGCTTTATAATTTATAAGTATGCCTTTTTTGAAACCTGTGGCCTTAAAGTTTAAAATAATTATTTTAATTGAATTAGCTTACAACCCAGACCGTATCAAACATGTTATACTATTTGTAAGATAAATTCTATCACCAAGGTGTCATGGAAGTAATTACAATAATAGACATGACCATGGTAGTTAGGAGGTTTTTAGTGTCCAAATAAAGCCCCGTCCACCCTTTTAACTTAAAAACACGTCTCTTATATTTATTTAAGACACTGCTTGTGCAATGAAGACAGTAATTTATTTACCCATCAGGAAGGTAATCACAGCTCTTAAGTGCTGGAACCACAGCTGCAGCGATACAAATGCTTTGTTATTACTGCTCACAGAATAACATGGTGATTCATGGTGCCGGCCTGGTGCTACTCTCTGCCCAAAACACGGCACCCAGCAGCAGGTCATAGACTGTGTAAAAATGACATGATGGGTTTGTTTTTGTTTGCAGAAAACCTTTTGCATTATCTCGGTTGATATCTTTAACGCCTGGGTTTAAGCTTCAAAATTTCAAATAGGTTTGTGTGCATGGAAACCAAATGAGTTTTCTCATACTGTTACAGTTACTGAAATGATAATCAAAAGCTGCTGTTAAAACCAGCATTATTAAGTTTTGATTATTAGGCTCAGTCAGAAACCTTTAGAATGAAAAAGATAGAACCAACGCAGCTTAGTTCTCCGTGGAATAGAATAACCCACTGCAGGGTGTGGACTTTTAAACTTTCCACACCTTTTACCTGGTCATTAGACACTAAGAAAAAAATCAAAATGCCTATTATAACCTTTTTAAACATGTATGAAAGAGTAACTAATTAAAGACAACTAAAGCCAGTGGCTCTGTTGATGACAGACTACAAGTCTTTTCAGGATGTGGTTGTTGGTAATTCAGAGTATAGTTTCCTTTTGGTAAAAATATGTTAAAGACTAAAACCTATTGCATGGTCAATATGCTCTCAAGAGATGAAGGGCTGCGTGCGAGACAAATTTTAATAGTTTAGTCCCAACAGTGCATTCCTAAATAATTAATTGGCTGCATTCAGCAATCTTAAGGCTTACGTTCCTAAAAATTGTTACAGAAGTTTCCCTTTCCTGCTTTAATATTTACATACATTATCAAGACGTATTGCACATAATGTCTTATTTGTTACCTTCAAGGAAAAATAACATGTAGTAGATATTATATTAGATTTTTCAGTATTTAAAAAGCCAATCACCATATAGACCCTATAAAGGGGGAAAAAAAACATATTTCAGTTACTGACTGATAAGTGAAGATACAACTTACATGGCCCCACATATATTTTCTTCTTACCTGTATATATCTGTCGACAATTCCTTCTCTAACCTCAGCCTGAAACCATATTCTGTTGCGACTCCAATGCAGACCGCACAGAGCACAGAGTATTTTCTGTCTGCATTCATGATTGGGAGAAATCTTTTAATATGTAAATGGTTCATCATGCAACTTCCTACAGTCTTCAGGTCAGCAGATCAGGGTTGCATTCAATTAGGGCACAGCATAGCACCAGAGGAGCTAAACTTAGCTTCCTCCACAGCTGTACTGTCACAGATAACGTGCTAATGATGTGAATTCAACTGACATGTTTATGTTTTTATCAGTTTCTGCTCCCATTTAAAGACAATTACAGGGGTTACTATTTTTATTTTTATGCTTCAAATGAGAAATATTCTCAGCTTGCAAGAAATTAAAACAACAAAACTTTCCTTTAACTTCAGTTTGCAAAATACGCATTTAATGACCTTGCCCACAGAAATCTCTGCAAAAACATCTTACATTCTCTGTTTTACGTGAATGAATTATTATTATTTTTTTTATGCTTTTTTTATTTCAGATGATCCAGACCAGCAAGGTGCTGCTGGAGAGCTCTGATGGTGTGTATGAGAGGATTTTGCAAGCTCAGAGAGCAGGTAAGGCATAAGCATAAAAATTGTATTTTTAGTTATATATGTCTAAATCAGAGCAGATTTTGACCAAAACAGGAAGGACGGTTTGGTTTCTTTTTACTCGTGCACTTTTTAAATTTGCATTTTTGGAGAACGTTTCACTGTATTAAAATGTTATTAAAACTATAGTAGATCACAGTAGTGGAATGACTTTCACCCCACAGCTTCTCATGGATCCATACAAAACAACAGTTATCATTTAACTTCCTTTTGACTATATTCAGCGCTGGCCTTTTTATTTGTTTCTATGACCTCATTCTTGCATTACAAATTCACAGCTTTGACCCAGCCTTTAGTTTTATCTTCAAGCGCGTTGTGACATATTGACTTAGTGAGGTCAGGGACAAAGTTTATTCAGTTCACACACTTGAGGAAACATGCTGAATAGACAGTTCTCTCTACTTTCAGTTATGCCAATTTAAGTGAAAAGCAGATTATTTTTATTTAGGTATACATGCAATTCTAAACATCTTTGTCAATCTCATCACAGAAAATTTTGGTAACATAGCCAATTATTTTTTAAATAAGTGAGTCTGTGGATGTGCTTAATACGATTATACTAGGGCTGCAACTAGCGATTATTTAAAAAATCGATGAATCGGACGATTATTTTTTCGATGAATCGATGAATCGGACAAAAAATATTTTTTATATTAACCTCTTTATTCCAAAATAAACATTTTAGACAGAACAAACAAGCACACAAGTACAGGTTGCTCATTAACTGTACTGGTGCAATATGAAAAATAAATGTTTGTGTTAAAACTACGCAAACTTACATGAGAAATGTAGCTGTACATCCACAAAATATAGGGTACTTTGTTTCATAAAGCGCAAAAAAGACATTTTTGTTTTTAAAAGCCCCTAAGGGGTTCAAACAATAGGCCCCCCCATTTCAACAAATGAGTTTTTTTAGACCAGAAGAGTTCTGCCTTTTAAGACAGGAAAGTATAGCAGTTAAAGTTGCTACTTGAGAAAATACTGAACCATAGAGATAAAAATAGCCCTGTGATTCAAATTATAAATTGTATTTGGAATAAAAATGAGAGAACTAGGGGTGGTAAAAAACACATCCTCCAAAGACAGATATTTACATGGGAATGTGGCATATAATTAATTGACATATTACTGATCTTGCTGGATTTTATTCTGCTTTACTTCCATAAATTGCAGGATCTTCTTTACTTTATCTTTGCCAGAAGATTTAAACTTTAAAAGCCTTGCCCTCATAATTTGCAAGTTAATTTATTTATAAAGTAAATGTAAACGCTGCTTAAGCTAATTCAAATGAAATTAAAAGTAAAATAAGTAGCCAACCTTATCACTGTCTGTAACCTACTAACACGGTAAGGAAAGCATCAGATGAGCTACCTGAGAAACTAACGTTACGTTTCCCCACTTTAAAACCAAACAAACATGGTGGTTCCGTGCCATGTTAATTTCTTTTGAAAAAAGTTGCATGTTATCACTTTTTTCGCTTTACAAAGCGCAGGCTATTTTAATTATTGTGATCAATTTGCGCCGTCAATCCCGGTGCATGCGCGCTTCATTTGTAGTCTGGACGCTGAGGCTCTGACTGCAGCGCTGAGAGGGACTCCTGCGGGGAAACGCGGTTGGGATGGGGGAGGCGCCCCACGGCAGAGTAGGAACGATACATGCTTTCACGTAAGAGTCTCCAAAAGCCGCCAGTGACACCGAAAAAAGTCGCCAGATTTGTCGGTAGTCGCCTTTTTGAAAAATAGTCGCTGGAGGGGTCTGAAAAGTCGCTGAGTTGGCAACACCGCACCTGCGGTGCTGACTCGCTCTGCCATATTTTTTTTTCTTCCTCTTTCAGTCAAGAGGCAGTGATGACGGCGCGGCGGATGACGCAATAATCGCGCGACACAACTAATCGATGATGAAATTCGTTGCCAACGCTTTTAAAAGTCGATTTTTATCGATTTTATCGATTCGTTGTTGCAGCCCTAGATTATACAATAAATGGATGGAGCATTATTACCACAACTAAACCTCCTTGTATTTTATAGGAATAGAAACATTTAGTCTAGTGGAACTAGACTAGACTGTGACTACACAAAATGTATATTTTTTTGCTTTTTCAATTTGGAAATGGTTTAACATGGATCTTTAAGCCTATTCAACTACATCTAGCTAACATATTTTTCTTCTATGTAATTTTATTGCATTTAGTTTGATGCCATAAAGTAGCTGCATTAAATCAGTGTTTCTCAACCTTTCAAGGTGCCACCCCCAATTTAACATGCACTGCTGTCCACGACGCCCCTCCAACGCATGTATCCATATAATTATACGTCACATTTACACAACCAGACAATCTTTTATCAACTCACTTCAGTTTTTAGTCTCTTTATCATTTTATTTAAAAATAAAATTGGATTTATTTTAAAAACATGAAGCATCATCAAGAGGGAAACTTTCCAAACAGACCCCTCAGTTTCTGGTTAAAAGTTTTAACAAATAAAGGCAAGTTTTTAATTTCTTTCTAATACATGATAACAGTGTGTTTTAAACTTAAAATTTTATTTCAAAGATGTATGTTTCTGAGAGTTTAAACATAAAAAAAAAAAAAAAAAAATCTGCAACTATTTAATGTAACGGTTGGCTCTGCTTGTTTGAACAAAGCAGATTTTTGGCTTTATTTTAGACTCATCCACACGGAGATCATTCTCAACTCTGAGGAATCCGTATTTGTTTTTCATGTATTATCAGTGCAGAAAGGTCAGACATGGGGATGCAAATGGCAACAGTTCATCAGTTGCAGCTTTTGACAGTGTTGCATACTCTGTTGCTACTGACATCCAGAAGTCTTTCAGTACACATACAGGGAACTAGCAGTCTGTAATGTGCTATCAGAGGAAACATGGAATAGGGAGTCTTGCTGCTCTGATGGCAGGTGATGCGCATAGATGGTGGAGATCGGCTGGCGTATCCAGTCTTTTCCGGGGTGTCTTCATTTGGGAAATACTTATTGAAACTGTCAAGGAGGCTCCAGAGGTGAGAGGCAATCATTTATTTAATAGTTTGAATGCTGTCCTCAAGCTCTGGGAAAATTTCAACCCTTCTCCAATCCAATCGCACAGCCCACCGCTCAGCTTTCTCTTAAATGCTATATGCTATATTAGTTGACAGAATAAAACAGTAGTGTTATGGCCCAGTAGGGACATGTTTAAGCTGTTTATTATGTCCAAAATGTTGGCTTGCAACCCATTTTGACTCTGTCAAATAATCAGCAGATCATGTGACTGTCTGATAAGAATATGCTGAACATCCTAACGCAGTTCAAAGAGCCTCATTAAAACTTGGGCATGAGAAAACCACCTTAGAAGAATCTCTCATGCACAAATTAGAATGTTGTCTGCCTGGCTCTGTGTTTCCTGGACGGGGCCGCCTTTTACATTTGCCTTTTGTATCTCTGCTCCTGTCTCCTTGAACCCCGGTCGGCCTCGGCAGATGGCTGCTCACACTGAGCCTGTTTCTGCTGAAGGTTTTTTCCTATTAAAAGGCAGTTTTTCCTCTCCACTGTTGCTACAAGCATGCTTAGTGTGAGGGATTGCATTCGAGTCAATGAGTCAATGCAATCAACTGGTTTTCCTTAGATAGAAAACTTTGAATCAATTTGACTGTATGATCTGGTTGAAATGTAAAATGTCTTGAGATGACGTGTTGTGAATTGGTGCTATATTAATAAACTGAATTGAATTGAATCATACAAACGGTGCATTGATGCAGAGTATTTTAAACAAAAAATTAAGCAGTAGTCTATTGTTTATTTGAAATTATATAATCTAATATTAATCTAACAATTCTTACTTAATAAAAAGCCTGAGACCAACTGCTCACTCTTATGGTTGGAAGTTAGATTCATTTTGTGCATTTATATTTTTCCCATAATTATTTAACGGCTCCAGAAATAATCTTGTGACACCAATTGGGGTTGTGACCCCAAGGTTGAAAATAGCTGCTTTAAACAATGCAAAGAAATAAGGGGTAATTTCTTTTTTTAGTGATTGAAATTCTGTGCATAGTAAATGTAAAAGTTCCTGCTGCAGCTAAACTGTCTTTAAGTTAGACACAATTCTGTAGTGGTCCTGAATTTTGTTTAATTTCCTCTGCAAAAGTCTTAAACAAATGATGAGCCTACCTTCTTGCACATACTAGAGAACATCAGACTATCACCATAGTGTAAATATTGAGATGTGGTTTAAACAGTTGTTTTGGTCATGGCCTAACAATAGTGTGCATAACTTGAACTTGTCTGTGTTCGGCCTAAAATGTTCGGTCAGAATGACCCTGTTTTATCTGAACAGGGTTTATGTTTTCATCTTCCAGAACCAAAAAAATAAAGACAGCTTATGTTTTTTTATGCACATATGTAAATGGACAATTCCAATTCTGTGGAGCTTCCTATCAGTCACTTATCATCTCTAGGATTCCTAAAAGTAACTCCTGTCATGTGTTGTTACATGATTTTCCACTTAACATCATTTCTTTTCTTAATGAAATTAGCTCTGATTAGTTCCGTTGTGCTTCAGGACGTGAAGTAATATGCATATTGTCAATTGTCCTTTAAAAGCTGATAACATGCATGTTTTGAATATTTGCCATGTGCAATACATGTGATGTGTAATTGCCTCATTTCAAGGCCTGTGCAAAACTTGAAGAAAAACTAAAGCTGGTTATTAAACTGTGTTGGTTGAGGGCTGATCTAAAACTTCCAGGACATTTTATTTTGGAGACTGGAGTTGGCTACATCTGATCTACTATATATGCTTTTGATGTTGCGTCCTGAGTTTGTCTGCTGAATGATAAACACCCCAAAGGCACCCTATTTTTCTTTTGAAACAACTTGCATCTTGATAAGCTGGCAGCAAAGCCCCAAGCCGACCAAACAACTTCTCCAGAGTGTGCACGGAGGCTTTGGGGGGCTTTCAGTTTCAAAGAGC